CTGTTTACGAAAAGGTGGAGAAGAGGGAAGGAAAAGAATAGAGTAGAGAAGCTTTAGAGTGTGTAAGTCCCTGCGCCGGCGAATTCGGAGCCAGTTGAGTTTGGAACGGAAATACGACACATGGCCCGTATGTGGGAAATATCTTCTTTCTAAGGGCCTCCAATCCGCATTGGGCCAGCGTGGAGGACAATGGCCCATCCTCCTTAAACCATCTATAAGGAAGGCCTGAGCACCTGCAGTGGGGACGTAAAAGGGCTGGTGAGTGAGGTGAGGCCCAAGTAAGGAGTTTACTTATTGTGTTTAGCGGTAATATATGTAACTTAATTTTTGCCACCATAACGTTTGAGAGACTTAATGGTTAAACATGTATAATTATAGGTATTTTATATTATTGTTTCCTCTACCATCGTCGAAGAGGGGCTGCTACGTATTTAGGACATTACTAACAGGCTAGCGATTGATATATTTTTCATTATAGTTACGAGTTAACTTGCCTTCGTTCTAACGACAAAAAAATGAGGAAGTATTTTACAAAAATACATTATATTAATAATAACCCATATTTGTTTTGAAATTTTTCGTATTTGTATTGATATCTAAGTTTCGAACTTTGCAAATTTCAGTTTTTTAATATGTTAGTTAAAAGGAACGGAAATTACTATCTTTTGGTCCATTCGTTTCCTGCAAAAATCAACTTTTGCTAGAGTCGCCATCTAGTGGAGGTGCTTTTTTGGTGGTTTCTTTTTATTTTTTAAATACTTCCTCATTCGCTCGACAGGCAAGTTAACTCACTACTGTTCTAACAAAAATGAAAATCTGGCTTACGAGAAAACGAGACAACATTAGCTGATCAGTCGATGATGTCGACAAAATAATGTCTTATCGCGCTAAATATAAACATATTTTTAAGAATTTTGGATCAATGCATAATATAAAACAAAGTCTTTTCCAGCTGTCTGTTCGCTGAAACTACACGACGTATGTACCTATTACTGTGAAAAGTTGAATATCGAGTGTATTCTACAGTCAGTTTTTATTTTTATTTATATGAATAAAGGTTAGTCTATGATAACTAAAATATTTTTTTTAAGGTTTGACTTGAAATTTATTTTTTCAGCTTACCCCATGCCAAGTTGTAATAAGATTATTTTCAAACGATTCATTGCTATATCAATTAGGATAATAGTTTAATGCTCAAATACTTACACAATAAACATGTGCACTAAGAAAAACTATAGTATTTGATAACATAAAGATAAATCATTGTTATAACGAGCCTCAGTCTCCTCTACTTCCACTTATTGGAGCATCAACCATCTCAAAATTATTGCAACTAAGCAATTATAATAGAAACAGACAATATAATAGTATTATTATAACTGGTTTGAATAATATGCAGTAGATAAGGTACAAAATCGAAGTGAAAGAAAACTAGCAGCATTTAATTAATATTTTCCTAAATAGTTTCCTAAGCAATAAAATGTTTAGGAGTATACAAAAATATTCACTAAACGTTTTTAAATATTACAAACCTGAAATAGATTAATGTGTGGGCGAAATTCACCAGCTGAACAGATTTCTGTTTATGTTAGATGATGTTTTAACATTTTATTATTATAGTATCCACAAACACTGAACGTTTCTGTTTTTGACAGTAAAATATAGAATAGGTATTTTATAAATTTAATAACGTTAAAATACAATACTGCTAATATTATAAATGTATTTTTTGTGAGTATGTTTTAACTTTTCATTAAAAACTACTGAACAGATTTTTAATGAATTTGGTATACCTACGGATAATTCTGAACCTGGATTTTTATCCCAGTAAACGGTTCCTTATGGACCACGTGGACGAAGCCGCTGGCAGAAGGCTAGGTAATACAATGAAAAGCAGTTAAAAATAAATCTCGTTCATAATAACCATTAAAGGTGTCGATATTAGCCCACCACTAATTTTAGTAATTGCATATTCATCTTGTTGTTCTGTTACAAATCAAAGCTAGCATCTTCTGTGTACTGCTTCGCTTGCGTGGTATTTTGTAAAAATTTCATCACGATCATGTTAGTAAAGTGTACGCATCGGTCAAATGTCCGCACACCTAGTAATGTCTTCATCATTATCATCTCAAACCTTCCGCAATTAATTTGTTGCAAGCCTCCTTTATTTACCTATCATTTAATTAATAACGACTTCAATGGCGGTTTCTTGAATAAGTCACTTTTGAAATAAGTACTATTTATTACTTTTTAAAGTTTCAACTTAGTTCTATTTTTATAATAAACAGTTTTTATATTTATATAATAGGTAACACTAAAAAAAAATATCTTTTAAATAAAAATATTCAACGTAGTGAATGTTTACAAAGAGGAAAGATTTGAATGCTTGTTTGTTTATATGTATTGGTCAGGCTCCGAAACTATTGGTCTGATTTATAAAAGGCTATTATTTACGCAGGCGAAACCGCGAGGAAACGAATAGTTCTTTTGTTTTTTAGCTGAAATATTTAGATGATATGTTTATATCATGTAAATATGTAAGTGACATCTGTTAAAAATCGTATTTTGTTTTATTATAAAAGGAAAACTATTGATTCATACTTAAAAAAAGAATCATACATCGCCGTCGGACGTATAACCTCCTCCTTTTCGATTTCAAAGTCGGTTAAAAATGCAGAACCTAAAAAATGACTTTCAGTCTTTTCAACTTGAGTCAATGGCAAAATTACACTCTCTAATCCGTGCACCTAGATTAATCTTTTATTTTGTTGTGCTTTTTTATGGGCATAGTTCTAATGTTTTGCCTAGGTTGCCAAGTTCCAATGTTTTGCTTAGTGCGCCAAATTCAATCAAGTAAAACGTTTCATTTGTTGAGTTTTGCCTAGAGCAACAAGTTCTGGTGTTTTGCCTAGAGCGCCAAGTTCTAGTGTTTTACCTAGAGCGCCAAGTTCTAGTGTTTTGCCTAGAGCACCGAATTCTAGTGTATTGCCTAAAGCACCGAGTTTTAATGTTTTGCGTATGGCGCCAAGATCTAGTGTTTTGCCTATGGCGACAACTTCTAGTGTTTTGCCTGTGGCGACAACTTCTAGTGTTTTGCCTAGAGCACCGAGTTCTAGTGTTTTGGCTATGACGCCAAGTTCTAGTGTTTTGCCTATGGCGCCAAGTTCTAGTGTTTTTCCTAGAGCGCCAAGTTCCAATGTTTTGCTTAGTGCGCCAAATTCAATCAAGTAAAACGTTTCATTTGTTGAGCCGACGCTGATTGTCGTTGCAACTCTGTCGTTGTTGTTCCGACGTCCGGTGTAAATTACAATATATTAAAATTATAATAAAAGGACAATGTCCAGCCCCCATACATTTTTCGCCTAAGAACCTCTAAGCATGTACTATCATTTTTCGTGTTCTAGATACTTATCTATATTTACGTCTAAATACATGTTTAAGTAACGGACACTTCTAAGAAATGTATAAATCAAAAAATATATTTTGGATTTGAGGTTATAATTTTAACAATTGTAGCGTGCGGTTAGATTCTTTTTAATGTTTGTTTTACTTGCTTTTTGTAGGGAAATGTATGTCTACTTTGCTTTAAATGTTGATTGTTGTTGTTTACTTTAAAAGGTTCTGTAGGTTCTGTATCGGGAGCATGTACTTACCAATCTTGGAGCAACCCAGTGTTGTATACACTGAAGGATCTGCTCATCTTCTAATACCATGCAACCAGAAGCTGAACCGCAATTAACACAAAATACTTCAAAACACCCAGATTCCATGTTAATGTCCGTTAAATAAATGCCAAGTCGTCGTCTATAGTAGGTCGGTATGCCGTAAATCACTGCCGGAGGTCGATATTATAAGACGAAATCAGTCCTTAGTTCAAGCCAAGTCGTTATTTTATAACTAATATTCACAAGACACAAGAAATCGTACAAACCAACTCAAGCGACATAAACACAACGCGAGTATGAAAGCGATTGTCAAACAAAACTTCAAAAGTTCAAAATTGTCAAACGTATGTAAAAGAGCGCTTCCAGCCGCTTAAAAATCTACGAACATTTTGAGTCTCGTTTTAATGTCAAGCGCTTTAAGTGTTCATTGGTTGATTATACATCAAATTGTGCATAGATTCTGATTTGTCAACTTATTAAAATATGGTGGCAGCGTTTATTGAAGTTTATCAAATGTATTGATATTACTTTTTAAAGTAATTACAAAAATGGGCAGTGTCCGTTTGATTTTAAAAGCTGATATATTAATCATAAAATATGATAAGAATTATGATATACAAGATATTCTTAGAGGTTCATAGGCTAATTTGGACATTGTCCTTTGACTGCCTTAATTTTAATCAGTTTTAATCAGATGAATCAAACTGACATTCGATGGAGTGCCACTTTATCGTAAATTATAAGTAATGTTGTAGCCTGTGTGATAGGAAGTTAAAAAATTATAGAACTTTATTATGATTAAATTAGGAAAATCCAAAATGAAGTTTGTGCGTTTGTAATATTGTATTTTATAAGTATTGTGTATTATATAGTATACATTAATAATTAATTATTATCATTGATTTTTTATTATTTTTATCGGTTACTTGTCTGCTGACTAACCCCATTTGGAACCCGGGGCGGCAGCAGACTGGACCGATAACTTTTCCGACCGGGGCAGAAACTTAATATTCTTGTAAAACTATTAGAATCAACATGGTGGTTGATGGTTTTAAACATAACAATTGAATAATAAAATGTGCCTTTCTTAATATACATCTACGTATATAATAAGAAACTGGACATAAGAAAGATAAAGCAGTAAAAGTAATTTCAAAAACAAAATTAAACTACCGATACAGGTTGTACTTATTTGTCTACGGGGCGTCCAAACCCAATTTATGATTTGGTCGAGGTAACTAGCAGACAGTGGCGGATTATGGGCCCCCAAGACAAGAGGCACTTAGTCCGCCACTGCTGGTAAATGCTACACTGATTAGATTCTACTCTTTACAGTTAAACGGCAGCACCCATCCATGTACCGTGGACCAGAGTGGTGGAGGTGTAGCTAGAAATATGGCGGAAGCTTTGTGGCGACTGCGGGGAGGCCGAGTGCGCCTGCTCACGGCCATCGGTGACGACGCTGATGGCCAGTTCATACAAAACATTATTCCCGACATGCTCCTTGATGGTAAGATAAAAATCTTATAGATTTTTTCTTATGACCAACGCTTTACACCTTTATACATCTAGTTATGACTCTAGCCATAGGATCTAGCGATGTTATGGCGAAATTTCTCTCAACCTATGTACTGAGAATGTTAATGTTTTAGACAATAAATATTATCATTATTATAAATTTCGTTTCATTTTATTGCTTTAATATCATCAATATTCGCTACCATGTCGTATACTATGGCTAGAGTTATAGCGAAAGAAGTGAGCGATCACACCCCAATGTGCGAACACTTTCTGCATTTTTGCTAGCAAGTAAAAGTTCTATGGCGACCTAGGATCAAATTACTAGTTAACTGAATCTAATTGGATTATGAAGGTAATGTTAATATTTCGCCTTAAGTACAACAAAAACATTTATGGAGTATATAGTAATGAAACAAGAGCTTATTATATCTCTACAACTCACGTATGTACAATTAGAAAGATAAAACTAACAATAACACTTGCTTGCTAAGTGAAATCGTTTGTTCCTTCGTAAATAAAACCATGACTGCTTTATTGATGTTGGCCCTCGACCAAAAAAAGGTTGACTACTAAATTGATACTGTGAAGAAGTGATTCTATATTTATTTCATGTTAGTTTTTGCACGCAACTTCTTTTACCTAGCAAAATGACGTTCACAAAATGATTATTCCCAGTCTTTTTTTAATTCTCTTCCTTTCCTATTATTCCAGCCAGAGAGCCAATGAGCCAAAACAAAACATTAACAAATAATAATAATAATAATAATAATTTTTTTATTTGCCTTAAACATGGTATAGAGGTGTTAAAATTGTACAAAATCCTCATGCTTCGCCATTTTCAAATAGCATGCAAATCAGTATAATGGAATCTAATACAGTCACAATTATTACAATAAAATTATTAAATTCTTATTATGTTGAAATTATATGTCATGTTAAAAAAAAAGTCAATGTAATATTCTAATTCCTTTTGTTCAAAAATTCGCTAATACTATAAAAATTATTACAATTTAGCCAGGCATATAATTTTCTTTTAAACAATCCAGGCGTTAAAGAAGAAGAAGTTCAGTTCATGTGGAATTTTATTATATACTTTAACGCACATAGCCAAACAACTTCTCCCATACTTATCCGATTTTGGAATTACATTTAATATAAGTCTATCAGGGTCTCGACGTTGTCTAAATTTTTGAATGTCCTTAACTTTTTTGAATAAATGATTGTATTTCCTTACAAAGGTACACACTTCCAGAATATATAATGATGATAGCGGTAATAAACCAAGTTGCTTAAATGACTCCCGACATGATTCATCAGGTGGAATTCCACAGATCGCCCTGATACATTTTTTTTGAGTTATGAATGCTCTGTGATAGTCTGTGCTGTTACCCCATATTACAAGACCATGACGTAAAATCGATTCCACGTAAGCCCGATAACATATAACAGCTGTTTTTTTATTTGTTACTTTTACAACTTGACCCAGTGCATAAGCAAATTTGTTTATCCTGTTACATGTTTTGTCGACATGTTGTTTCCAATTCAAATTGTCATCTATAGTAATACCTAAGAATTGTGTATGTGGTACTTGTTTGATTTTATTAATATTAAGTTTAAAATTATATTTAATATGTTTTGATTTATTGAATTGAACAAAAACTGATTTCTTTAAATTTATTGTCAAATTGTTGTTTTCTAGCCATTCTATTACCTTGTCAACAGTATTATTTATGTCAAATTCATGATTCAGTATCGAATTATTATTTACTTTATTTGATGTCAGCATACAGAATGCACTTATGGTTTGTCACGTTAATGAAGTCATTAATATATAGTAAAAATAAAATAGGTCCCAAAATACTTCCTTGGGGAACGCCCTTTTCAGTTTTGCGATAATTTGATGAATATGAGATCATCTCACTATTTACTATTCTATCAATAGTGACGGATTGCTTTCTGTTTGACAGTTATGACTCATATAATCAAAATGTTGAATCAAAAATATTAAGATTGAAATGTAAAAATCGTCACATTTCACATAAAGTTTTTTCTTAAAAATAATTATAATACTAGAAAAAATTAGATCATTTTACACGACTGCCAAAAAAAGGAATGTAATATTGTTTAAGTGAGTTTCTTTTTTTCCACCATAACTTTTGAAAGACTTACGGATATGCATTTATAGGGTGACAATAAGAAAGGTACATCATTCCGAGTGACACTGACTTATATACACAAGATGTATAACGCCATTAAAATACATAAAAACGTTATTTTTATTATAGCTATATAGGTATCAAAATAAAGGTCTTGATGTCACTCCAAAAATATATAACATGTATATATTATTTTTTTCATATAGTAAATAAAATTAAAACATGAATGACAAAATCTGAACTAAAATAGAAATAATGAGTCAATGGTAATCTAAGAGGTCCCCCGGCTGCAATGAGAATTATGTTTAGCCAAGCCATAATACAGCATGTTACTTTCATATGAAGTTCGATTTTGGCAGTATGATTTTTTTAACATTTATATTTTTTTAGTAAGAAAACACTGTTTTAGATAATACTTTGATTTTTGTCGTGAAGAATTTTCCATTGACCATAATAGGTATAATATTACAACATAATATAAGTAAGTAACATACATATTTAAGCTTTTATGTTTGAATTCACGATAATATGGTGGTTTACTTTAGGAGTGTTCTTAAGTATATCAAATACCTACGTCAATCACTTTGTAGCTGAGGGCTATGTACAATACTTTTACAATAATCGTAATGCTTTGCGAATAATTAATTAAAAATACTTTTTCACATGTTAGTGATTCGCTATTTTTTATTTCTATATATCCCATTGTACAATAGATAGATAAACAGTCTTTACGGCCAGCCTCAAGCTCGGACAAATTTACAGGATGCGTAATAAAAGGTGGACGGACAGCTACTTACGCTGCAGTATTGGATGCAAATGGAGAATGCCTCATGGGTCTCGGAGACATGGCTCTACACGATCACATTACAATAGATTCCGTGAGTATATATTGAATAGTTTATTTATATCAACATACACAGCAGTATATCAAGATACCACAAAATGTAAAATTTTCACAAACGATTTTACTAATATACTTACTTTATTTTTATATAGCTTTACGTGCTACTGGCTGTACTTATTATACGGATATATTTTTTATACGTAAACAATTCATTTTATGCAAAGGCAGCTAATACCATAGTTTGATTAGTAATATGTGATAAATCAAAACGAACTATCGTGTTTAGACTTTCAAACGTCCACAGTTTTAACGACCTGTAATGCAAGTGACGTTAAACTAGATAGTCTTGCAAATATGGCCGATAAAATAATAGAATTTTCTCGCCCAAATGAATTAGCCACAATTGCTAGTACCCGACCTTCAGCCAGTTTACACAACGACGATATTATCAATACTTTAGCCAGATTATAAACCACTAACATAGGCACTAACCAAAAAATCTCACCATCAGATTCGCCTAGACGGTTAAGACAATCAGATTTTATTTTACAATTTTGTGACAAAATTCAATACTATATAGGTGATAAAAATATAGTAGCAAACGCTTTATCTAGGATAGAGGCAATAACAATACCTTCTCTATTAAACTATGAAGATCTGGCCGAGGCAAGACCGAGGCCGAGGAGTAAAGTGGTGATCTCATACAAAATTCATTTATTAAACGTCGGCCAGAATTGAAGTCTTATGATCACGGGATCTTTTAAAGTAGCTATTCAAATACCCTATAGCTACACTTAAACCTCTCTATTGCCATGAGCCATTTTATCAAAATTCTGATTATAACTTTGTTACAGGTAAACAAACATATAGAGATATTAGAACAATCTCCATTAGTGATACTTGATGGAAACGCTCCCCAATCTACCATACAACATGTTTTACAGCTGTGCGACAAAATGCAAAAACCAGGTAACTTTCTACCTTACCATAACTGTAGTAGGTAACAATTTTATTTCTTTTTAAATGTAATGGTAGGGTATGTCTTGTATAATTGGGATTATTTTAAACTCCCACCATAATCGAACGGGCTCCCGCACCTAAAGCTACCTAACTAAAATATTGTTTTTCAAAGATTTGACTGCATTGCTAAGATCGGAAGTAGCCAAATACGTTTTGTATTTCATTTATTAAATACTAGCTGACCCGGTGGACTCCGTTCCACCATATTTTTTAACTCCCTCTGCATTTGAAGTCTGTAAGACTTTATACAGTTTTTTCGCTTCCTCACAAAACTCCTCCGTATGTCATTCCCCTTAGATCAAAATCAGAGACCGGCTCCTCTCTCTGCAAATCGTCCTTAAAATCCGTGCCTTCAGACTCAGACTCCGAATACAAACTCTCCGGCTCTTCATCCATTACCTCCAATTCACTCCTTCCCGAATCCACGTTTTGTCTCTTGGCCTGATGTGAAAACACTACCCTACGCTATCTTTTCTCACACCCACAAGAATTTGACCATACATAAATAAAATATACAGCGCCATGGAATATATAACCTTGCCCTTTTCGATTTGAAATCGGTTTGAAATAAAGAGGCAAGATTATGATTTACAATAAAGAACACTTAATTAAAATTTGTGTGAACCGATCACTTTTTTACTATATAGTTACGTATGATCATATTTTTATCACGATCACATGAATATCGATTAGATAGTTCATAGTTTCAGTTTAATTGTGCTCACACGACTTTCTTTTACAATATAACCCAAAGATAATTAGCAGAGCCAAAGAAACTAATCTTTTGTCCGATTTTTTCGACTTGTGATTTAAAATTAATAGCCTTTCACTAAATAAATTATTCATAAAATAATTCTATGATACTATTCTATTCTTAGTTGACTTTATTACTTAGAGATTTATAATGAATAGGTATATGAAAAACAAAGACATCATTAAAAATACATTATTTATTATTTTATCAGTGCTTAAGCTATAATAAAATGGACGGAATACGTTAATAATTATCATCTACTAAGTTCATATCTGCAGAAAGAAAACTTTCATTATTATCTAAACAATAAATCAAGTGCCAAAAGTGAAACGTCAAACTGGCATCTTAATATTTAGGCATTATAATATTTTTCAACAATTTCATCTTGTCGCATGCTTCACTATTGTAAAGCTACAAACAATAATTGTATAATCACGATAAAAAATCGACATTGCTTCATTAGATCATGTACAATACCTGTAAATGCAACTTAATTTAATTTGTATTGTTTAATTATAGACTAAAACATTATTCCATAAAATTACTATTATACGATCGTTTATGAATAAATGCACACTTATCATTCTAATTAAAAATAAAATAATAGGTACATATCAAGGCACTTTATAAGCTCTAATACTGAGAATTGAAACAAAAATATTGAAATTTCTTACAATAAATAATTTCGAAATATTATTGAAAAAAACAGTCTAAAAAATTACAAATTTTATTCAAATGTCATTTTTATTTAAATTTCAAATGGGATACAAAACTGATGATTGACATACAGTGTAATTTTATTATAGTTAAATTAATTTAATTATTTAACAATTAAATATACAGTCGGGACAAAATTCTTCAAACTTCCATCGTTAAGTAATTGTGAGAAATATTTCTATCAAATCTTAATAATTTAAGTACCTATATATTGTCAGCACAATTAAACAAATTCAAATCGTCTATCCCTTACAATAATCATAATTATGGAATACAGAAACTTTTCACTAGCTAACAAATGTCTGGAAGTCAAAGTTAAGTGTCTTGTGCCATAAAACATTCGTTGAGATTCAAATCCAGATAACGTGCTGAATGTAAGATCAAATTAAAGAATGTACTAAACAATTATAACAAAGTTCGGACTAGATCTACGCGTTCCAACCGATAGAACGCTGCTGCTGCAGCTGATTTCGAAGCTGATGCAGCGCATGTTCAGGCTGGCTGTGTTGCATTTGTCCAACTAGATTTCTAGCTTCGGACCGCAACTCGTACAACTTGCGTGATTCAAGGTAAAGAAGAATGCCAGCAACACCTAATCATCAATAATTATAATTAAAATAAACAATTTTACTTAACTAATATACACTGTAACATTAACGAGAACTCTTTATTCCCGTTTTTCCTAAACTTTGGGTTTGCCCAAATCTTAAATTACTTGGAGTCAGATAACGTCATTAAGAAATTTCTAAAGTCATGATATGCTTTATGCGGCGCCTTGCGCTAGGTATTTACTTAATAAGACAAGTCACAAATAAACTGTGCCTTGTTCTAGCTTAGTTATTTATTTTCCTTATATCACTCGAGCGAAGTCGACATACTAACATTGTCATGTTCCACTATATCTATTAAGCTTTAAAAGTGCTATATATTTATAAACGAAATTGTTCTGACTGATTGGTGATTCATCACCACCAAGCTTAAACTATTGAAGTTGTACCATAGAGGTCACCAAAGGGTCAATAGAGTTATTTTGTAAAATAGATACTCACTAAAGAATCATGTTTGGAAATTCAATCCTCAAATGAGTGAAAAATCTCCAAAGGAGTTGGAAATTTTGTTTGAAAATTCATAATTTATTGAATTAAAAACATAAAACTTTTAGTTTGGGGCTACTAATTAAAAATGTTACCCCTAATCCGTGTAAACAAAGCAAATGTGTTTTCCTGTTTGGTTATATTGTTCTTAAATATGTGCAGTACAATTATATTGTTATTTTAAAAGCAGGATAACCATGGATACTTTATAGATTATTATGTATAGTCACTTACCAAATAATATGCAGGCAATAACAGCAAATGCATATGACCAAGATAAAACATTGAATGAAGGATATAGCAGCCAATCACGTCGGTAACAGTTACCACCAAATATTGCCACTGCCAGAAAGAGGAATACATCTGTAATTTGAAACATTCTATTATTATAATACACTTATACCCTTACTGATAAGAAACTTTTATCCATCTTTTAGATACACATAGCTCGGTTCATGTCATTCTAATTTAACTTTTAGTTCATGAGAAAAAGCACTTTATAATTAATTATTCTTTAATTATTATACTATGTTTATTATTACAATAACTGTATTAACAAATTGCTAAAAATTAACGGCGGAGTGAAGTGTAATTAATAAAAATGATACTGTTCATAATATACAATGATTTCTTTTTGAGAAATAAAATTATAACTGCTACGCAAACAAACAAATGAAAGAAAATAGGTGGACTGAATGCTAATAGCATTCTCTACAAGTCAACCATTGGGAAAACATAAAATATGGGGGCGACATAAAGTGATCTTACAATAAACAATTTCTTTTTTTTTATTTGCTGACTAAAATTACTTTATTCTTATAAAAAAATATTTTTTTTTTATAAGTATTAATCAATTTTTATGTAGGTACTATATGAATAAGACATTATGAAGAAATTTATTGTTTTTAATATGCAATTTTCTTCCAGTTTATATATCGACGCTGGAAAGCAAACACGTAGTAACCCGCAAATGCAAAATGAATATTTTAAGTGGAAAATCTTTATATTTTTCCAAAATAAATATCTTATTTCGATATAAGTTGACTAAGGAACACCTTATTTATTACCATAGACGTTTATAGTAATTCTTTATCGAAAAAAATAAAAGCTTTTCTGCTCTGAAGAGCAATTTTGGTTTTGCGGGTTACTACGTGTTTGCTTTCCAGCGTCGATATAGACATATCTATATAAACTGGAAGAAAGTATACATATCATAAAAATAGGGAGTTGTTTATTTTCTATTAGGGATGCAACAATATATTGGAAAAGTGATATATATTGACACTTATAAATAAAGATAAATATGATATTGAAGAAACGGCAATAGCTATATATTGATATTGAAAAACCTAACATATTGATAGAAGAGTAAATCAAATCAAATGAAGAGTAAATGTATGTAAGTTGTCCAAAGTTTGAACATCACACATGTGACAATTTTTATAACATTGATCTTTTTCTTTGAAATTTGTAGTAGCTTTTATTATTATAATTTGTACTTAACTTCAAAATAAACTGTTATTTTCAATATAATCTCAATCTATTTGAAGTGGCAATAAGACATTTTTCCATTGTAACTGTTTTAGAATTTTATTTAAAATAAGGTTTTACAAATAAGATTTTTAAATATTCATAATGAAAAAGGCTTAAAAAATTGCACCAGCCCAAGGAACTCTGCTCAAACCCACAACCTTACGCTATCCATGCAACTACTTAAGAGTAGTCACATGGATAGCTCACATGGTAAGGTTGTGGGGCTAGTGGATTTTTAAGCATTTTTCATTAAGTATATTTTTCATTAAGTATATTCTCCAGTATAGATTGTAAATGCAAAATTGATCAGAAATGAGATTCTTTTATTTAGTTAAAGCCCAAAAAATATATCAAAATATTGGCTTGGTGAAATGTTATATCAATATCTAATGTAACTGATATATTTCAATATTTTTATTAAACTTGTATTTTCTATGATACTATTACATCTACTCAATGTGAAAAGTTTGTCACCTCTTTTTGTTGTAAGTGTTGCCATCAAAAAACATTTGATAGATTCCAGTGTATACATACTTTATTTTTTGAACTTTGTATATTCAGATTATATATTTTGGATTTATATTGAGGTAGCTCTAAGAGCATTCAGTAAAAATACTTACTAGATATAATCAACATGGTGAAGGAAATAGTAACAAAAGTCCACTCGTATTGTAACACAAGACGCAAAGGCCACCTTACAATCACACAAGCTAAGACAATTTGTGTTGCGAATGAGAAAATAAGAGCGAGTGTCACAAATGCCTGGACACTCATCAACCACCCTGGTAATATCCACTCACGAATTACATAGTACTCCTGCAATGATAATCATAAAACAAATTACATTTCAACATAACAAAAAAAAAGTTATGCTCATAATTAAAATATTACTAACCTGGCTAAAAACATAGTGGCAGCCATGGAATAACTTATCAAACTGATAGGATGGAAAACGAAAACGGTCAAAGCAATACTCCCATAGACCCATGTGTTTAAAAGAGGAAAACATTTCAGGATATGATTCTATCCAATACGGGCTTGCAAACGATAATAGCAAGAATAGTCCCGCTACATATGTTATGCTGGCACCAATCAATGTGGCATCTGTAAAATAAAAATTTAAGAGAAATGTTGGATATCCCGACTCAGCTTAGATTTATAAAAATATTATTATTATAGCGATTTAGATCATAATTTTAATCAAAAAATGAAAATCGAGTAGGCATATAAAACAATTTTATGGAACGCTTGGAAGTAATTTAGCTTCAACTATATAACACATTAAGTACAACCGCGTCTTAAAGAATGTTACAAATGAATTCTTAAACTTCCATGTTTATTACTTTTTATGTCACGATATTTACAAGAAATAATATCAAAACTGGGCGTGCCCACATATTATCCTTACTTGATGCTTTCGGATATTCATTATTAGCCACAGTCATTTTTGCTTGCGAGCAATTGAAACAAACAAATAAACCTTGATTGATAACTATACCAAAATTATTTCCAGAAAACTAAAATTATTTCGTTCAGTTTAAGTTTACAACATAACAACAAGTTTACAACATAACGACATAAATGTCAGTTGCAATTTGACATTAGTTTGATGTTTTAGTATATTAAAATGCAAAAGGCTCTAGCTTATACAGCTTAGTAATGTTGTATAATATAGATGAGTAAGTTACTGCCTAGCGGACAAAAGTGAATTAATACAGGCATATTTGTAAAAATCATATTGCTGTAACTATAGAAACGTATCCAGCAATTAAACTTGAATAATCCAAAAGAATTCAATTTTTAAGTATAACCATGCCACTAAAATCAGTCATATATTATGTATAACTAGTGGCCGCCAGCGACTTCGTCCGCGTTTTCCATTATTTCTTCGCTCCTAATAGTTGCATCGTGATGTTATATAGCCTAAAGCCTTCTTCGATAAATGGTCTATTCAACACAAAAAGAATTTTTCAATTCGAACCAGTAGGTAGTTCCTGAGATTAGCGCGTTCAAACAAACAAACTCTTCAGCTTTATAATATTAGTATAGACTTTTTATTTGGTCTGAGAGTACAGATATTTCCCGACCTCAGTCACTTTTAAAAGACGTAGAAATTGCATCGATTTGAATCGAATTTGCTGTGAATTTTAAGATTCAGAGCTATTCGAAATGTAAGATTATCACATATTAAGGTATTTTCCCACCATAAATTGCTTTGTTTACGAAGATAGGTAACGGAAATAAAAACCTTTTGATTATAATATTTTATTAAAATAGTAAAAAATACGATTATGGACGGCAGTTACTGAGATTCTTAATTTAAGAAATATAATACATTAATTTTCTCTGTAAATGTTAAACAGGATAGAGAAAACAAGACGGAATGTAACAATAAAACTACAGAAATACATAGACCGTTTCAATTTTAAAATAGTACATTCACTCATTCTTTTTTTCTATCAATCGATTATTTTTTAAATGGCTCTAAACCCCGACGACGATTAGGGGTGCACAAAGAAGAGTCAAGTAAAAAGCGTTACATAAGAGGCGTAATGGCGGCGCTAGACAGAAACAGTGCTTCGCGCTGTTTCGGAAATTTAAAACTTTCGGAAAATTTCATAAATACAGTAAATTTCCCCGAAATATTAATGTCATGTTTTTGTTATGTGATAAAGAATAATTTAACTCATTTTTTTAAATAATCAACAATATTATCTTAATCTTAATAATTATCTAATCTTAATCTAATTCAAATATTGTCTAATATATATGAAATATGACAATAATCGAATGAAATATTAGTTTAAACAAGCTTAATTAAATAACCATAAAGCAAACATGGACGGAATTTAATAGAATTAAGGTCATTGTCTCAATGAAATAAATTCTAAATATAATAATATCATTTTACGATGATATTGAATGTTAAAACAATTAGTAATTTCATCTTAAAGGCTAATTAAAATAAGCTATGTGCATTTCTATTCGTTGGTAAAATGTAGAGGTAGTCTCTATAAAATAATGGAACTATTTATATAGATTGTAAAATAGGAATGCAAATCAGCCACCAATCAAGTCGTGAAAATATATTATTTTCTTACACAAAACAAGTCTCAATTCTAATGTTTCATTACCTGTTAATTATATTTCTGCAGATAAAAAAAAATACATTATATTTCATCGAGTACTAAAATTGTTCAAATAAAAATCAATGAATACCTTCCTTATAAGGCACTTTGTCGTGTCAAATCAGTCAGATTTAACAAATTTTATTTTTTTGTTTTTTTATTTTAACACCTAAAATTAAATACCTACACAATCTAGTACGTCAGGTAAACTTAACAATAGATGATGATTGATTGATTTTCACTCGGTTTCTGAATTCAGAATATAAAGTTAAGCACGTCTCAAACCGTACTTAAGCTACCTTGAATGTCACTTGAACAGGTTTTCGTTTCTGATTTTAATTAATGATCAGTTAATAGCAGTTTGATAAAACTAGGACTTTTTGTCATGTAGAATATAAAAAACTAGTTTTTTCTCACACGCACACGAATCTCTTTGTCGCTTCATTAGTTTCGTTGCGCTTTGAATGGGAAACGAAAGCTCAATATAATAATAATTAGAGATGCGCCAAATATACATTGGTATTCGGCATCTTTTTCACTATTTTTATTCGTCCAAATTATTCGGTTTTGGTGCCGAATATGTTCGGTTTGAGTATTTCTATTTTCTTGGCTACACAACACGGTATAGTACTAAAAGACAAAACTTTCTATGTAAGCTTCATGTTACAATATTACTTGAGTAAGTCTTGTGATGAATTTATTCAATAAAGCTAATAAAATAAAGCAATTAAACTTCAAATCAATTATTGTTTTCAAACCTGTTTTCGCCGGTAAACAATTAATGGTAAACCGAATAATTCGGTCAAATATTCAGTTCGGTAAAGGTTAAACCGAATAGTATTCGGTAATTGGTTATTCGGCAAAACCACTATTAGGCGCATCTCTAATAATAATCTAAATTTGTCAATATTTCGGTCAGGAACAACGGCCAAATTCGAAACAACCCTTGATATATCGGGACAATGTCGCTAAATAAGGCCTGGTTTTAAATCTACATTTTAGTGATTACCTACTGTATTTCAATAGTTACCATAACAATTTCGAGTGAATAATTATGCAATAATCGTTGCAATATTTTGTACGACATTAATTCATGCTTTAATCATTATAATTAAAAATATATCCAAAACACTACTTCATCGTGTATTAATACATAAGATTGCTATTCGTGCTCAGTGGTTTTTTATCTATTTATGTTAATAGCATTTGTGTTCTAATATGAACAACAACAACTGTGTTCTTCTCCGAGACGAGAAAAAGATAAGTTATCGATATAAAATCTTAAGATCAGATCAGATACTTTAACTATCTACAAAATGTAAAGCTACAGGCACTGAAAGTTCTTAGAGATTAAACTTACTATTTGAACACATGACATAATTATTAAGCTTTCGATTCATATTCCAATTCAAATCGTGCTTGAGATTCCTTTAACTTTTCGCGTTTCTTCAATTGTATGTTAGCTTCAGTTAAGAACAGAGCAGCTGTTATGATACAAGCTACTGCCCCTACTACGCCTAACCCGAATGACCATCCTGTAAAAAATAAGATTACAATTATATACTTGCTGGTTTGCCGAAACGTTGTCCGTATAAATTATCCTGTACCACCCACTGTAAAACATAGCTTCCCATTTGTGAAAGAATTTTAATAAAATCCAACCAGTTGTTTTAGAGCCTCGATGCAAACAAACTATCAGATCTTTCCTTTGTTAGTATGTGCAGGCTACGTTTTCACTTAGTAATGAAGACTGCGATCGAACCAAACTGTTAGACATTTATTTTTTCAGAAAAATATACCTATTTACTTATTTGAACCTAATCTCATAAAAGCGAAATTATTTCGACTTTGTGTTTGGCAGAATAATCTGATAGTTTAATCTGATAGATAGTTTATTGGTAGGATTAAAAGTAAAACAAAGGAAATAGTGTAGAAAGTGACTTTAAAAATTAAATTTAATAACTCGTTATTAAGGTCTGTAATCGATAAAGACACAGGACTGACCAAAGAGAAACAAACAGTTTTTTTCGCGACGAGACAGGATGCTGAGGTACGCACCGATAAGGCAAATAAATAAATTCTTAATACTAATACAATTATAGAATATAGTGGGTCACGTGATAGGTTAGAAATTTAGAAATATTAAATTTCTGGCGTCATTCAACTAAATGGCTAGCCGCCCTGTTTAACGGCTGACTTACCCGGTAGGCTATGACGCATATTCGATTAGGATCATTGTTCAACAATAATGTATCCTCTTATTTTATGAAAAACTATTTTTCCCTTCCAACCAGGTGAAAAACCTTTTTCGAAAAAAATATCATATGATTTTCAATAACTTACCAAAATAATTGTTTGGGTGGTCCGGCATCCACCCGTCTGTATTTCCCAAAGAGGCAAATACGATAACCGCAATAACTCCACATATACCTGAAAAAGTTTAGAATGTTACCTTTGGTTCTTTATTTTATTAAATTATGTATAGTTAAAAAAAACTTATTTACCCGCTCCCAACATAATATAGCCAATACTTTTTATAAGTATAATGAACCTGCTTTGGTCAGGACTACAACATAGAAAGAAAATCAAAACTAAAATTGCCGAAACCAATACTCCAAGTAGGCACAACGTGAAGAAAAATTGAGTTGCTACCATGAACCCTGCAACAAACAAAACGGTTTGAATACAATCATATAAAACTACTACACTACAATTCGAAAATAATGACGTTATACGAAGTATGCATGAAAAGTAATAATGTACCAACCTGGAAGCAAATAGCCACGAATTTTATCATAGCCGGTCGTAAACGGATCGTAAACCCAACGACATCCCACGAAGAACCTTCTTTGATATTGATCTAACGGATCTGGGAGTGATCTGAAGCAGTGGCTCCATAATCCTAACCTAAGAATACGGATCTTCTATTAATTAAAAAAAAAAAAGATTTAAGCGCCCTGTATAACCGGGGTGCGACCTCCTTACTTGCTAGCCATAAGATACGACATCTTAACGAATATTATGGCGATATTTCGTTTCATTCTACTCCTTTGACATGAAAAATCCAGAATCATCGTTCTTAACATTCGTCGTCCGTCGTTTTTAAAGTATATGTCGAAGTAGAATAAAATTAAACGAAATATCGTCCTAACATTGCTTAGATGTCGTACCCTATGCCTAAAAGCACAGCTAATGATTCAAGCGGTCGCAACCCAGATAAGTTTGAGATTACTTTTTACATACAAAAGCTATTTTACACAATTTATGTAAATAGAAAATGCAAACTAAAAAGTAATAAGGACACTGTATGCCTAAATGCAGGCTTTCCAATAAGAAAGTAAATGCTGACAATAGTATGTGCACTTTTATCATATTATGTTAAAATCAGTTGATTTTCGTTATAAAAAAAAAACAGTAAGTACATTTTTATGTAGACGATATGCTCACCTGTCTAACCTAGCGCTTCTTATTCTCGAATCGCTGACCAACCAATTAGGCGTGCCAAATGCCAATGCCACTGCAACAAGGGCAATGACAAACACACCAATGCCACAGTTCCCGGCTAAGCTTCTACTCTTCATTGTGCCTGAAATCGGAAATCACAATAGCTTTAAATGATATACACGTTAACAGTTAATTACACGGACGAAACCACACACTCATTCAGTCAATATGTCATTGTTAATTAACCATCGAATCATAGCGTTGAATAAATCTAAAAATAAAAAGCACTTTGATCAGCAAATAATAAATTAAAATTAATCAAACCAATAAGATTAGAACCATACCCAATTCATTTGTTTCGAAGTTTATTCATCATGGTTTAGAGTTTTGAAAACCTTACTTTTTCTTCATCACCTAAGGTGTAAATGTATATAACAAGGTAAGCTTCTATAAAGTTATATTGATCGGCATATTACGTGTGCAAGACACTACAAAATGCTCTATTGACATTATCTTCTATTGCCACTATTTGTATTAAAAACAATTACTTAAAAGATGCAATGATAATCGATTTCTAACGTTGCATTAGTAGTCTAGTTCTAGTTAAACTTTAACTTTTAAAATTGTAATAAATGCAAATAAATGCAATAGACTCTTATCCATATACCCTTTAAATAGGTATCAATGTAAAAAAGCTGTTATACTATGGCTATTGAGTTTAAGCTATAATGAAACAGAAAATTTTCTTATTAACCGAACTTAATCGTATAAATAAATTTTATCTTTTCATACATTTACATCCACATACCCCACTCACATACACATATACTCACCGTCACCCACACACACACACACACACACACACATAAGCCTGTAATATATCTATGTCATATTTACTTTTATTATCATTTCTCTTTTATAAACAATACTAGTGGACGCCCGCGACTTCGTCCGCGTGGAAGTCGGTATCCCGTGGGAGTGAGAAGTTTTCCCAGTAAAAAGTACCCTATGTGTTATTCTGATGTATAACCTATATTGCTGTAAAGTTTTATCCAAATCCGTCCAGTAGTTTTTTCGTGAAAGAGTAACAAACATCCATACATCCATACTTACAAACTTTCGCCTTTATAATATTAATAGGATTAAGAACATTAACTCCTGTACTTTTGTTATATTACTAGACATATGTTTCGGTTGTGGGGGCCTGGTGTTTTGTAGAACAGGATTATCCTAGTATCGGTCACCAGTCTCCGTCCTTGAATTGAATAAGAATAAAATGACAATTGTAACTGTGTAATATGTGGAGAAATAAAATAAATATAACATAACATAACATAACTTTTAAAATTACAAACGGCTTATGTAGTTCAATTCAACAACAAACATAATTGAGGTCGCTGCATGTCCTGTTGTCTTGTAAACCTGACTTCATAGGATAATTGGATAGTGAATCATTTGCTTGCATATTAATAGTAACTGTGTTCCCACAGTAGAACAAGGAGGGCTTAACATATAAATAACTTCTGCACAACCTATAATAAATAATAATATTGAAATCAAGGTTGAATGTTCTGCTTCAAATAAATATATCAAGTTCAAGTCAACCTTCTCGCTTTATTGTTCAATCCTTTTTTATATAAAGAACACAATGTTAACGCTTGCCTATGAAACAATTTTATTATTCCTTACAATTAGTTCTGCTTTTTTAACCTTTGTCCAAAATTCACGCATAGATCCAAAGAGATCAGCTATTTTGGAAAACGTCTGTATACATCACATGACTCGTCGAAAGACTATGAATGATCACCAAATTAACGCCCCCCTAAGCATTTGTAGTTGTGGGAAATAAATAAATTACCAGACAACGTTGCATACGGGTCGAAGAATATTACGATAATTGCGGAAATTAGAAGCATGACTAACTAACGAGAGAAACTAACGAGAAACTATAAAAGTAAAGAACTTCCTAAATAAAAACAGATAACATAGAATGATGAAAAAAAGCATTTCAAGTTCAAGGGCATAATAACCAGTTCAAGTAGCTCACGTGGTACACTGATTGTAGTGTTATAGTGATTTATGAATGAATAGATTATAACGACGCTCAAGTATATTTATTTTATTTTATTCTGTTTGGGGAGCTTACAGCATTATTTACAATATAATTACATACAATATAATATAAATACTTAAAGACTAATAACAAGCTTCTGCGTATAGGCAGAAAATTTGTTGAAATTAATATTTTTTATGGTAAATTAATGAAACTGGATAACATCTGTATGCAGATACAACTATACACTGCAATCACAATATACTACAGACATGACATTTAACAGGAAAGTTTAACAAACTATCTAACTGAACTAAACTAACTAAATACATACATACAGAGATGGATCAGAACTACTTTCTGAATGAATCCACAATGTATAATTGTTAGATAAATGGTATAGGTGTGGTGTGGTGAATGAGTGTTATTATGGGATGTATGGTACAGTGAATGTATAGTAGATACTACAAATAAAGCACATAAATAGGAAGTATTGTTAGCGCTCAAAAATTCTATTGAAGCCTTAAATATAATAAAAAAGATTTCATCGTTACACACAGTACTTCGCGAACTTAATTACTCATAATAAAACCATAAAAGGTTATGTCGTTTTACACCTCACCAAGGTTGTCCGAACGCTTTGGATGGACAGCTAAGAACGTTTCGTAATCCAAGCATGCATGAGTGGAGTGCTAAACAGATATGTTCGTAACATTCACCCAGAAACACAATGCTGAAATGTTCACACGACTCCGCTATTGTGGGAACTTACAAAACGAGTCAAATATCCGTATAGTTATCCTTCGCGGCAAAACCATTCATCGTCAGTTTATTTAAATCCAAGTTACATAAAATTTATGTATGTAATATGAATATAAGAGGACTAGCTGTTTTTGCGCGACGTTGCCCGCGTATAATATAACCATTATAATATAACCATTAATTATAATTTCTTCTGCATGCCAGTTTCTGGTAAATATGTCTGTTAACTAGAAAATAAATTGTAACATCTTGTACTTTCCATATTTATGCAGAAATAAATATATTATTATTATTATTATAACCTTTTTTGAGTCATAAGGGAATGCTTCATGCACTGTCAATTTCGCTTTATAAACGTCGAGGGGTATATGGAACTCTCCATCCATACAGAAAGCTAGTCAAAACGCTAGCGGCATACGCACTAAACGTCTCTTTGGGAGATGAGCCTGGGATCCAGTAGGGACTGCTCCACAAGTTGGGTGTGGAGCAGCGCAAATCCCGATCCAAATTATAGTCTATTGTCACCCTCGTAAGTAATAATAATAATAAATGCCCGTTATTATATAAAACTGACCAGCATCGGGCTGCGAAATTATAGGAGGAGGATAATAATAATAAAATACTTTATTGCACTCAATATGAAAGATACATTGTTTACAAAAGCTTATTATCTAAAAGATTGAGTAAACAAATGGCGGCCTTATTGCTAAACAGCAATGTCTTCCAGGCAACCTATAGTGAAAATGGATAACAATTAAAAATACTATGGGGAGAGGGTGCAATATAGAGAAGAATAAATAAATAAATAGCGTTAATATACTATAATACTCATAAATAAAAATAATTTATACATATGAAATGAATGTTTAATTCATTTCATATGTATAATTTCATATTTATAGTGAAAGAATAATATAAAAATAGTTTTAAGATGTGAAAAGGAAATAATTTCTAACTTCATTGCTAAAGGATCAGAAGTATTTGGTAGCTACCCGTAGGTGAAACAATTTTAATATTGGGAGAGTAATTTCAAAGGCTATTCAATGTAAACTTTTTATTTGCACACATATATAGATAAAAAATAAGAATTTCCAGAAAAGTAAAACAAGGGATTTGGGCAAATTTTAAATATGTAAATAGAAAAAGTAACTGACTGGTCTAGCGACGCCCGAGATCAAGCTACTGGACGAATCAAGATAAAATTTGTTATTGTAAGGTATAAAACATACCAACACCCTTTTTCAATAACCTAGAATAGGGCATAGATTAACTAGGAAACGCCTAATATTACGAATCGCCTAAGCAGATTAGTTTAATCTATATATATAAAAATGAATCGCAAAATGTGTTGGTAAGCGCATAACTCAACAACGCCTCGACCAATTTGGCCAAATCTTTTTTTAAAATGTTCGTTTAAGTTCAAGGATGGTTTTTACGGCGAGAAAAATTAGAATTATTGCTGGAAAAACCCTAAAAATAGCCCTTTTCTTTTTCCCATACAAATGATTTGTAACTAAAACGTAGTCAATTTGAGCTTTATTGTTATGGTATAAAGTTCATATTAAATTACAAGCACTCACTGTTGTCTAAGCAATGTAGGTGTGTTCCTAACGTCAAAGATCATATCTATCAAAACAATGTGCGTGTGTGCGTTGTAGCACAGAATACATAGTTGGAGGAGTTTAATGTCGCGTTTCGAAACTCGCGTTTCTTTTGTATTAGTTTCGGCACGCGAGATAAAATGCATCAGTTTCCACGTCATTACATGTAGGTATTGCCGGAACATTGATGAAAATACGCTCTGTAGTAGCAAAGCTGTTGGGTCCTAGATAGCTCATTGGTTAGAGCAGTCCCTGGATCGCGAATGGGTTCGAGTCCCATTCCGGGGTACAGGTAGATGGATTCTTCCAGCATTTTTCCTTGAGAATGTTTATATATTTTTTTAATTCGAATAGTTTACTTTTATAATGCTGTTGTGTGTAATGTGTTTTTATGATCATAAAAATCTCTTTTTTCTATATTTAATACTATTACTATTAATACATTGCAATAATAATTATGATTCACATGATTAACAATAAAGCGATTACTTACTTTTAAATCCTTATATATGTTTTATTTAATTATTTTTTATTCACAACGCCCTATCACCAGGGTGACGGTTCTGTTCAGGAGAATTTTTTTAAATACGTAGGCAAAAAAACTGCCACATTACAAATCTTTTTGACAGGACGAAGTCTGTCGGGTCAGCTAGTTCTAAATAAATATTTTTTTTTTAATCCCTTAACATATTTATGGCCTGTCACATACGCAAATGCCTAACCCCATAAATAATATCATAACTTTAGGTATTTTGTTAAGTAGTTCTTAGTTAATGGTGAGATGCATTTTACCTTATTATATTCATGTTTTAGTGGCCAGACTATAAAAAATTATCAAATTGTCCCACTCAATTTTAAACCAAATTATAAATATGAGGGTAGAGGTCAGAATCCATTGCAGAATTTTACATATTGTGATAACTTGACTAGCAGCTACATACTATTAATTTTATTTTTATAATATTACACTACTTAAATATATCATTATCAGAAAAAAAAATACAATATATCCTGTAAAAGTGTTGGCAGCCCTAGTAACAAATGACAATAACATCATTAGAATAATAAAAACTGAGACCATCACAAAAAAGCTATTAACTTTTGAATAGGTAACTCACACATGACATAGACTTGAGATTTTATGAGACTTTTGAGACAATATTTAGAATGCCAAAATGAATGTGTGTAAGTTTCCCACTTATTATGAGATCACTTTTTTGTGCTTATTTGATGTGGGCAATGTGTATCATACTATAGTAATTTGAGTATTGTGTCCCTTAAAGCTAGCTAAAATATCTAACAAATAAATCCTCTGTTTCAAAAATTAATTTATGGATTCTGAATTATTAAGATACAACTGTCACAATCTAGTATGGTTACAGAAACAGGTTATTATTTTTTTATATAAAATATTTCATTATACCTATATCAAAAATAAAAAATATTATTATAGCAATGGATATTATTGTTAAACCTTAATATGACATAAGGTTTCCATATGATATTGCTGTGCCCTGCAGCAAATGCTAAAATATATGTAGTTACCTCAAATAAAATTGTTTCATGAGGACAGTTAAAGTATACAATATACCTAACATGGGTTTGACAATGCCTGTTGTTTACAATGGAAAAAAATGATATCAACTGACGGCTTAGATTTTTTTAAACATTCCTTAATCTTTAAAAATAATACAAATGTTAAAGGGGGTTCATTTGTCCATAAAAATTTTATTGCACTGTAGCAGTATTATTTTTGACAAAAAAGCTATTATTTTTAGGACAAAGTATAGATGCAATAAAAAACAGGAAAGCGAAATATGGGATCTTTTATTTTGTTATTTACATAAATATTTATTTTCGCACCACCTCATGTTCTATCTGTATACCATTCTACAGTTGACTGGTAGAGAATGCCTAATGGCATTAAGTCTGCCATTTGTACTGAGTGCAATAAAGTTTAAATAAATATTCAAATGCTTCCAGTTGTTTACCCGTAAAAATAATTTGAGTTTTGTATAAATTAATGAATAAAATTATGTTGTAAAAGCAAAACTAGTGATTGAATTTGGAAAGAAGCAACAAAATTAATTTGAAAATTCGTCTACCATAAAAATTAAATAAATACCCATCAAATACAGAACTTCCTTTTTTATTTTGAAGTCAGTTAATAAAATACAATCATGTGAAGCAAAGTAAGAACTTTAGGCAATTTAAAACCATTATAAATCTAAATGGGTGAAAAAAAAAATCGTAAATACCATTAGATTATTTATAGGAGTATTATTGGAATAAAATAACTTTTTTGATGTCTTCAGGGTACTAAATATCTAAGAGAGCATATTGGTATTAGACATACCTATAAAAGCTTAAGAAAATAATTTCCACAGAAGACTGAAGCTATTACGACCAAAATTAGAACACATTGTAGATTGTTAATAAATCTGCTATTACTAATTACTCACCGTCAAGGATAGGCCTTTAGTTTGTTGCATAAAAAAGAAAATATCTCACAAAATTGAACATACGTTTTAAAAGAAGAAACTTTATAATCATCAACGAATTAAGGTTGTGATTATTGTTTACGAATACAGATTCGCATCAACGGCAGTCTAACAATATTTTCTGATTAAACAATAAGTATATGTACACAGAAATCAACACCGTAAACGCGTCTCACATTTATTATTTAAAATTAAAGTTAAAACACTAAATATATCTATAACGAAAACCAAAACAAAACGAATTTAGCTCAATCCACACACCAAAATACCACAAACGCTCCACTTTTGACTCCTATCACCACACCCTGACAAATGACCAGTGTTGCAAGCTCTATCGTGCTATACCCCACAATTAGGAGTGTTCATAAACGATAGCGAACGTATAATTTGAATGATCAAGGAACATAATAAAAACTTACCTAAACCCGTCAAAAGATCGCAGATCGCATTTAGTGTGACATTACTCAATAACTTGCAAGTAATTATTGCTTTACAGCACAAACTTCCATTAAGATTTAATGACGCCTTTAAGCTCTAATAAATGTCAAATTTGTATCGGTAATGTCGCTTTAAACTAATGACATTATTAATGGACGTTAATGGACGAATGATTGTTAGAAAAAAAGATTCTTAAAGGTTTTTAAAAAAAATAACAAACTTTCACACAAAAAGCTATGTCGAGAAAACTTTGCGCATTTTTGGGGCAAATTAGATACATCTTAGTATCTACATTTTGCTTTGATTTAGCTTGTATAAAATATTTAAATGAATACCTTATTATGAACTTAAACACTTTTCGACATACCATGTGATTTTAAATCCCCGTAATATCTTCATTATACAAAATTTACATTTTGGTAGATTACTTATTGTATCCTTAATGACTTGTAGCTTTTTTTTATATTTGTGGGTTTTTTTAGTATACTGCGGTATTAAAAATTACAAACTCAAATAAAAGTTGATGTGGAAAGAATATGACGGCACAAAACTGATGAAGACCGAAAAAGTTGAGAACTTGGCATTTCAATATTTTATGAGAAATCCCCCAACAAAGTAAAGAGTACAAGATGAATCATTATTATTGCTTAAAAAGTAAATATCTTTGCATCTAATAAAAAAAGTATATTTCAAAAACATATAGATCAATAACATATTTGACCGAATAGTTGAGTGAATCCGTTTATAGAAAAATATTTCTTTCCATTAAAAAAAAAACCAGCTAAAATGGATGTTGAAACCACCAGTTTTAGTGGTAAATAGTGGTAAGTTAGTAACACTACTGACGACCTGACAAAAAAACGGGTGGTCGTTGTGCGTTTTGTTTATACCTATTTTTTGATGATATAAACGTTTGTATAAACGTTTGCATGAAATGAATTGTATTTAAATGAGGAAGTATTTAAAAAAGAAAAATTCGTTCCCGAAATCAAAAAAGATGTCGCTACGGTACGTTCTTGATTTCTCCATGACAACCTTTCCGGTTTTATTTCTTGCATAAAAGTAAATTAATTTTCAAAACTCACAAAACAACACATATTCTTCTACTTACTTTTTCTTATTTGTATTATATCTAAGTTTCGAACTTTGCAAATTACAGTTTTTTTGTGTTAGTTAAAAGGAAAGTAAAAAAAGACTATCTATCGTCCATGCGTTTCCTGCAAAAATCAACTTTTGCTAGAGTCGCCATCTAGTTAGGTGCTTCTTTAGTGCTTTCTTAATTTTTTTTTTATACATCCTCGTCAAAAATAAAAAAATCAAAGTCAAAATTGTTTATTCAGTTTATATTAGGCCACAGAGTACATTATTATAAAAGGAAATATTAGGCTTTTACAGGGCACCTGTGAAAGTCATTATTTATGTGATACAATTATTTTTATTCTTTAATCGAAGTAGGTCAATGTGTGGTACAATAAAGTTCTTATATAAAAAACAGGGTTTCTAATCGACACATTCACTCAATTATGGGCATGCAAAGATTTTAATATTTATTTTAAACTAAGTAAATCAATTACATTCAAATGATAACTAGAAATATATAATAATAACAATCATAATCAAATAATAGATGTCAATTTCAACTTGATAAACAAAATAATAAATAAGTAGTTAATATATGTATACACATAGTTTGTGAACAAATACTCTCCAATGGCCAGATTTTATATTATCATATTTTTGCGCTATATGATCTTTTTTTATTTTTAGTTCTATATCAAAAAAATATATATTTTTTAACTGTAAGTAGGTATTTTAAGATGATGATTTTGCGCCCCTGCGACTGCCACTTCGGGTAAGCCCCCTCCTCTCTTTCCTGCGTACCTACATTATATTTTAGACGCCCACCTCCTCTTTTATTGACTTCTTGCAAAATTTGCAAGAGAATTCTATTAAATACGTATATTGTTAAGCATACAAATAAATACACATTGTAAGGAGCCTCAATAAAATAATGAACTTATCACATACTGACAACTATTTCCTGTTTTTCATGTATTATTGTTTGTTGCAGTTTTCTTCGAACCTACAGACCAGAGAAAATCTGTTAAGCCACTAAATGAAGCAGTGCGTTTAACTTACGCGACACCAAATTTATCAGAATTAAAAGCAATGGCTTCTTTGATAAATCCAAAATTAAAAATAAATAATATAAATGAAATACGAGATATATTACAATTATGTAATATTGTATCAGAGACAGTACATTTCTTGATTGTCACAATGGGATCAAAAGGTGTCATAACAGTTAAAAACTTTACAAATTGTCAATTGGATGTTAGATTTTATCCAGTGGAACCACTTGAAACATTGGTCAATGTTTCTGGAGCAGGAGATTGTTTTGCAAGTGGCTTCATCCATGGAATTCTTACAGGTCAAAGTCAATCCTCTTGTATAAAATTGGGATTTGAAGCAGCCAAATGTGCATTACTGTCTAAAAACACCATACCACAACAGTTCCTTTTAGATAATGTGAATAAAAAAATTCATTACACACAATTAGAAATTAATTGCACAAACGTCCATTAAAATTTTCATTAGTTTAAAGCGACATTACCCATACTAATTTGACATTCATTAGAGCTTAAAGACGTCATTAAACCCTAATGGACGTTTGTGCAACTCACCGTAAATTGTTTAAATAAAATAGGTTAATGAATGCCGTAAACATCTTAAAAATGATCTCATAGATTCAACTTAAAACTAAAAACATGTGAAGGCGATAAGATACTGACACTAACACAAAACAGATATATTATAAGTATAGCATAACAGAATATGTATTTAGAAATTACTATTGGATCAATCAACCACAAAGATTATGTATAATATAAAAGTTACAAAATAGAAATTCAGTTGAGCAATAGTTGCCAAAATAAAAACTGGGCAAAATTAAATTATTTGTATAAATAAATAAAAAGTAAGTATAATAAAAATGTCCTCTGGAAAGTATTACACATTTTAGTTTCTTTTTATTACAAACATGTTAAGTTATAGCTTCATCATATATTTGTATATTTTTTTCTGAATTTTTAGTACCTAACTTAATTTATCACCAGCTTCAATGGACGGATTTAAAATTAAGGCCACCTCTAAATTAATCATACATTCAAATGTCAGTGTGCCCTCCTGAATAACCCATTTTTCTTTCATGCATTGTGTATGATGATGGGTCACGACTTTGCATTTCATGCAGACGTTTATATTTTTGTACTCTTGCTTCAACTAGGAAGAGGATCCCAGAGGGAAACAAGAAAACAACTCCTATTACTCCTAATGCAAAGGCCCAGCCCAGGTCATTATGCTCCCAGTTCGGCATCCAGTCTCGGCCATCACCTCTTGCTCCAAATGTCACTACAGATATCAATCCAGAAAACCCTGAAATAAGAATGAAAAAAAATAAACCTTTCTCGTCTATAACTGTTTTTGTAACAACAAATCAGAATCAGGTTAATACCTCCTATAACTAACACAGTTCCTAGTGAAACTAGAAGTGTGACATAGTTATCATCATCTCTTTCTTTTCTTATATAAATAAATGAGAGTAACATTGAAACCAAGACACAACATAGTGATATGGTGAAAAAAAATTGTGTAGCTATGAAGAAGCCAGGTAGGAGTATATCATGAATTATGTAGTATTCCTCTTCAAATATCCACCAACATCCTGTGAATATTGTATCATACCAATGGTGGACTTCTTCAAATCCATTGAAACATACTTCCCAGAGACCTAAAAAAACAAATTCATTTTTTAATTACCACAATATGTGTTTACATACATTACGTGGGCCGTTTGGCCCACAGTTAAATTTGGTGGAAAAGTTAAAGAGCCTCATAGTTTAAAATCAATCAGACAAATCTGAGTTTTATATAATTTAAATAGCTATTGATTGTTTATGTTATTAATGCTATCTTGTGCACAGCAAGTACTATTATTATTTTGTCTATCATAACTATACCAAGGTACGTTTAAATAAGAGATAGTTAAATTGATGTCTTTGTTATTGTAATTATATACTACATTCTAATAAACTTACCAATTTTAATAAACTTGGGATTTTCGAGTTTTCCGTCTGTCACTAACCAATAGGGGCAAACAAATGCAATGATTATGAACAGAGATGCAAATATAAAAAAACCTAAGGCAAACAAACCAGTCTTAGATTTATTAACCATTGTGAATTTTAAAACAATACTTTAGCTCCTATCAAGCTTATGTATTTATGATTTTTAGGTATTTATTTATGTTTAAGTTAGTATTTACATGTAATTCGACTAAAAAGTAACCGCAAAAATCAAAAATAAACACACCCACTCACTAGGGATACACGAACCGCATCGATTCGATAGCTATCGATTTTTTTAATTGATTAGATAGAATACGACTATGCTCATATCGACCGTAGGCTTGGAAGATCGTGAGAAAAAAACGTATCAATAAAACGAAAACAGTATATAAATTCTTTGCGTTTTTATTATTTATTTAAAATATGATACGATTTTCCAAGATCGAATAAGATCGATTCAAAGCAATATGATTCTGATGGTCGATTTCGATAATGACTTTCTTTATTTCACTATATCTTACACACAATACTTTATGAACGTGTGTTACATCATCCTAAGTGACACTGAAACCATTTTTTAAAATATGTTCAATGTGAAGAGCCTATGACGCTATTAATGAAAATGAAGAAAGTATTTTTTTTAAGAGAAAGTATTTAAAAAAAACGAAATCACAAAAAATCCCCTAGATGGCCGACTCTAGCAAAAGTTGATTTTTGCAGGAAACAAATGGACCAAATACAGTCATTTCCGTTCCTTTTAACTAACATATTAAAAAACTGAAATTTAAAAAGTTCGATACTTCGATATCAATACAAATACGAAAAAGTACAAATAGAATATGAGCTGATTATTGAGTTTTGAAAACTAATTTACTTTTAAACATGAAAGAAAACCGGAAGGGTTGTTAAGGAGAAATCAAGAACGTACCGTAGCGACATCTCGTTTGTTTTCGGGAACTATTTTTTTTTAATACTTCCCCATTGTTAAAGTTTAAATAGCCAAAATTGCGCTAAAAAAACTGTTTTATACCTATAATGGCGCTGATCGCGTGCTGTTTGTGACGTCACATGCCGGTAATTATATCAAGGCGGCATAACCTATGTTATGAAACAAGAATAAAAAAAAACTAAAAGATGGGAAATTAAATAAAAAAAATTATTTACATTAAATAAAAAAAAATAAAAGGGACGAGGTGACTGGTGAGGTGAGAAGTGAAGTAATGAGTGAGAGTGTCAATGTAGGTGTTAAGGTGATGGGTCGGAGGTCAGCGGTGAAGTTGTGTTCCGCCAACGTAGAAATTGTTGTCGTCAACGGTAGGCTGCTGGTGATGGGTCATGGGTCAGCGGCGAAGTTAAGGAGCACCTTCTCAACGACGCGTCACTCAATGTGTCAAGCAGATGTTTCTTTTGTAGCCCAGAATGAATCAACAGCTCAAACCTCCAGATGAAGACTCAAAGACAGCTTCAGAAGAAAGTGGTGAAGGAAGTAGAATAATTTTAGTGTTTATTTAATTATAGCCAAAATGGTGTCAAGTGACTTTGAGACCGTAACTTTGAAGAGTTCCCGGGACAGTCGGCCCCGGAAAATAGGCCTTTTAGGAATTTAGCTAGCTCTGTACGAGCTTCAAAAAGCTAACTTGGGCAACTGTTGCCGTTGAAGTGATGTAGAACTATTTGGGCGAGGCTTTATATACCTGAAGACGAACTCAAATTTGGAAGTAAATGATTTCAAATAAGAACCCTAAAAATTCAAAAACTACAGAGTTTCAATGCCTAAAACTGACAAACAATGAGTCAATTTTCATGAAGAGTATCAAATATAACCATAGCAACGAAGAAAAACTTTAATGTCAATTCTGTCAAAACAATTAAAATTAGCGATAATTTGTGTTATAATCAGAGGTCGGAATTAGGTAGAGTTATTTATGTACTTGCATCGAAATGTTGATATTAATGTGGACCTTCCCGGGATTTCTTTATTTCTTTCTTTCATTGATGTAAGTTTGGCAACGTCGTGCGTGCAGTAGTTTAAATTGTGTAAAAGTAAATAACTTTTTATTTTTAAAATCACGGATTTTTTTCTGCTCTTTAAAATTCATCTCGGGATTTGAGGCATATCCACTTTATTCTTTCGCTGTATGAAATCAGTGTAAGTACATGAATAACTCTACCTAATTCCAACCACTGGTTATAATATATAAATAAGTGCTTTAATATGATTAGAATTCATAAAATGTATAACGAAAAACTATGAAAGCTACAGGTAAGGGTTTACATTAGTATAAGTAGACAAAAACATAGGATGAAAGTTCGTAGAGGTTTGAATAAGTTTATATTACAGAATTTTAATGGTTACAGATATAAAATTGAAGGTCGACAGTTATGGAATGAAAAAAGTAAAGAATATAAATGGAAAACGCTAAAAAGTTTATCGATATGAGCAAAATTAGTGATATGAATCTAAGGAATGAAAACGATACGAAAGGTTAGTTACGACACCTACTTATCAACTTTTTATTTGCGAAGAAAACAAATAATAGTACGGAATTTAAGTGAAATTTTATGTTTAATATTTGTAGCTACTCTGGTTTTGTTTATGAAAATGAGCTACAAATTGTATGTTTAAATACAAATTTTGCGTATCTCTAAAAACACTGTTTTGACATGACAGTTTTCTGTTTACGTGTGACGTCACATGCCGGTAAACAGAACCTGCACGCGTAGTATGACAAACTCGAGAGACAAAGCGTTTCTCGAGTTTGTCATGCTACACGTGCTGTTATTGGTTGCCGCGATAACTAGGCATGTCGATTCACTTGAAAATAAATCGATTCTGAATCGATTGGAATCGAACATACTAGAATCTTTTTAGATTAAATCGATCATTAAAAGATCGATTTTCGATTAATCGCGAATTTTTCAATCAAACATGCCTTATATAGACATAGAGTATTATTTATGATAATTTATTGTAGAGTCTGGCAAGCGAAACGTGTCACAAGAAAAGGGCGGCAATTTCAAAAATTCTTAAGCAGTAAACACTGAATGTAGTACTGCAAAATAATTTTGATACTTTTATTAATTATATTTAATCTTAACATTTAGATATCAATTAAAATTATTTGTTTTGGAACATTTGACTAAAGCGTGACTGTTCTTAATTGTACAGTTAACAGCATATCAGTAGGCCTATTCACTAACTCAACTGACAACCAAGAATCGTCATCACCGTAAAAAATAGACACTTTGATTGTGTCAAAATCACTATTTCGTATTCTCTATCAATGATGAGCAATTTCGAAATGTCAATATCGGCATTCTCCACTGGACTCCATTTTGACACTTGATTTCGTATCGATAAACTGTATTAAAGTAACATTGTTGCAAAGCATATTTGAAGTCGTCGCATAGTACCTCTTAAGCCATTTGTTGTTAAATTAAAGCGAAAAAAAATACGTATCCAATATTTTTCTATTATCTGACTGACGGACTAAATCGAATCTTTTTTTTAACCCATTCGTTATACCTATTGGCTAACAGCACTTATAATATTAAAAATTCATATTTGTCATTAATTAAAAGGGTGTTTTTTGCAACGACTTCTTTGTTTTTTTGTAATGAATATGGGCGACTCTGGCCACATTTTTTTAATAAATGTGATGTTAGCCAATTTTGATTTCTGGCCCTTATATTTATAATGTGTTCATAACACATACATGTCTCCTAAGGGATTTTCATCACAACCTTTTGCTCTGATCCAGAACCACTATCTATCAAATTAAATTAGTCAATATAAACACCAGATTACAATAAAAAAAACATTTATTTTTGTTACAATTAAGTGCCATGGATAAATTACATAATACAGGTGTCACAAAATCATCATGTTAATCACAATAGAAAATTTAAGATAAGATTTTGACTATGAATCAGACTAAAAATACTTTAGTCTGATTCATAGTCAAAATCTGTTTCTAAATATTCTACACCTGATAACAATGACAAGGAATCATCAGAGTCACTCTCTTCACTACTGTCTGCACCAACAGATATAATAAATTTTTCAAGTTCGTTTTCAACAATGCCATCTTTTAATTTGTAATCATTTTCGACATTTAAAACATGATCAGTGTATTTCTTCCAGTCACTAGGGGTAATTAAGTTAAAACACTCTATTATTAAGTTTTCCATTTCCTTTCCTGGTATTCCAATGTTTCTGCTTGCAATTTTTCTTTTTGCTTGACTCCAAACCATCTCTATTGGGTTTAAGTCACAATGATACGGTGGCAGCAATAAAAGTTCATGATTATGTTCTTTTAAAATCTCTTCAGCTTCATATACAGGCAATGTTTTCTTATCATTAACCAAACACATTAACTCTGCCTTTGTCTGATATTCCTCAAAATGTATTCCATTATTTACAAGCCATTTACGGATATCTGCTTTGGTATTAGACATTATAGGCGGTTTATTGATTTGTTTTATATGGTAGCTGGCATTATCCATAACAATTACACTGGGCTTACTTAAATTTGGTATTAATTTTTCTCTGACCCATTTCATAAAGTTCGATGAGTTCATATCATCATGATAATCAGCAGATTTGGATTTACTACTGAACACTAATAATGCACCAGGCACAAAACCTTCCTCAGATCCAGCATGCACAACAATATGCCGTTTTCCAGAGGATATCTTTGTAGTGACACCAGTTGTTGAAGGTCCTTGCCAAGACTTTTTAACTTTATAATTCTGATGTACATAAGTTTCATCAAGGTACACAATTTGCTTTCCTTCGTTTCGTTTTATATTTATTTCTCTCAAATACTTGTGCCTCCATGCAGAAATCTGGTATTTTTCTATAAGCATAGAACGTTCATTTTCATTGCTTTTAAAAGAAAATCCATTCTTAAGCATAATTTTTCGTAAAGTCTCACGGCTACCACTGAATCCTATTGCATCTTTTAATTCATTGTGAAGGCTTCTTAATGTTGGAACAATTTTTTTCACACAGTAAAATTCATTTACTTTATTCCGAATTGCACTTAAATCAAAATTATCTAAAGCAGACACTGTTGGTTGATGAGGTCGTTTTTTCCCAGGAGTGTCCCATTTTCCTTTATTAATTAATGCTTCATTTTTTATCCTTCTTAGTGTCCTTATACTTACATCTATAAAAGATTAAACACTTTGAAACAAAGATATGTTAAATGTATTTAAAATAATGATAGACACATACATCAAAATAATTTAAATACCTATTCAACTATGA